CTCGGTTAGGTTAAGATAGGTTAGGTTAAGATAAGTTAGGTTGGGTTAGGCTAGAATAGGTATGTTTAAAGAGTAGCGATGACGTAAACGGGTACAAACTTTTCTCGTTTTAGACCGTACACTCTTGGCTGGGGCGGGGATGGTGGGTTGCATTCTGGGGAGGGGAATAGTTGGGATGCTAGTGGGCAGGAGTTGGAGGTTACCAGAGGAGGGAATGAGGTGGTGGGTTGGGTGGTGGAAGGGGGGGAAGGGAGGAATAGTGGCGCAAACCAGTATACACTCAAAGACCTGCCCGTTCTCTTGATTTGCCACAACGTACAAAATACAAAGTGTTAACCTAATCCAAGCAACCCATCCACGTAACCTACGTACCCATAGAAAACTTGGATATTTGTGAGTCGATACTTTTCACAGTAATTTGTACATTGGGGACCATAGTGTACAAAATGAGACGTATTAGTTTATGCTTGATGAGTTAGTATGGTGAGGAATGGGATGAGTGTGGTGAGGGGCGTGTACATGTATGTATGTGCTCATCCAGCGGAGCTCCAGCTCTTGAACCCGGTATATCTTGACCAGTAACCGTCGGATGTGAATCCTCTCTTCAACGTTCTGGGTGTTATCATAGGATATCCCCAGAGAGATATCATATACATCTCTCCGAACCCTTGTTTTCTTTCCATAATTTGTGGTGAACACCTTCCTGTATCGTCTTGAAACTTTCAAGATATGTATGGTGGTACATGTACAAGCAAGTTCCCTAGTGTTATTAATACGCCATGCACCTGTCCCTTGTGCCAGAGTTTTTAAGTAAAATAAAATTATCGGTGTGGATGGGAAGCATTTTCTCGTTATAAATGATAATAATAATTACAGTGTAGTCTGTCATGTCTTGTGTTGTATTTCACCCGAGTTTTATTTTCCATGTATTCTCACTGGGAATTATCTCACCTTCCGGTACTCCTGTTTATATAATGTTAGGCTTCGGTGTTTCCTCTGTTTTCTGTCTAGTCTTCATCACCACAACATATTCATAAGACTATAACGTAGAAGTCACTGCCCCACATTGGCATTTCGCAATCAATTCGCTATGTTCATTTCATTCTGTGTTATGCTAGGTTAGCTGCAGTCCGTATCCATATTTCATCTCAAACTTTCTGCTTTAGGAAATTTCTTTCTCCTACTTCTATAATCTTTACTCTCTCTTATCCCCTCTCTCAGATCCATTCGTTGTTTCCCAGTCAATCTGGCCATTATTAATGTCTCTCATTGTTAGCAACGTTTCCTCTACTTTCATTTCATTACTCTCCATGCTACCTGATATTTTCTGGGCAATAATTCATTAATAACAATTCCAGATATTTTAGTTTATAATATTTGGGCCCTCAATCCTATAATTGAATTCATATGTTTATTTGACATTTCATCAGCATTTATAAGCACCAGGCATGAGCTTCATTGCCATTGTGTCGTGTGTTAAGGCAAGTTCCAGCCAGGGGGTGGGGTTGTGAGTGGGTTTAGATATAAGAGACTGTGAGGGTTGGGGGAAGGGAACTAGCTCTTCGCTTAACCAATTGCATCCTAATCATCCATGTTGTTTTGTAACTAATGAAGGATTATGAATATATTGTTACGTTGTTATTATTGGAGAGTATCAGAGATCCGTCAGTCTACTGACATTTGTGTGGTGAAGGCATGCATTTGTAGTAATTGTGGTAGTAAATGTCTGATCTACTGTGAATTACCTTTTCTCTCGACATCAGTGCCGGTTGCAACTGCAACACAAAACAAAAGAAATAGACTTAGTGAAATTGGTGGTGAGAGAGCGCGAAGAGTACCCCGACACATACTGGTTGTCAATCGATGAAGTATGTTCCCAGGACACGTGCCTGAAAGATAGTGAGTGCTAGACCCCCCCATGTCTTCATCTATCAGCCGGAGTTACGTTCACATCATTCACCGGCGTTATATAGTTTGTTTTCTAACTGTTAAAATTGTATGGGGGCATTTGGCGTTGTTAGGGTGACGGAGTCCATCCGGTCGACATGGTGCTTGGATGGATCCGGTTCCCATGTCGACCCAGTGCGCGTGTCGATCGACCTTGGGTCGATGCAGTGCTCGGAGCCCGGGTTTATCTCATATCTCATGCTTGGGTGCCAAGGTCGACTCGGTGCTTGGGTGCCGGGGTCGACCTGGTGCTTGGGTCGACCCGGTTCTTTAATCGACCCGTTGCTTCGGTCGACTCGGGCACCTAAGTGTTACAGCAAGAGGGCGGACACCAACCCGTTTATGACTCCTTGGTCAAAAAATTATTGGTACTCGGCCAGAATCCACTCAACGAGATAGATACGTAATAATATATACTTGGGAAATATTAGAGGCACAGGTTCCAAATCTGAACATGGAAATAACTACTTGATACCAGGAGGTATGGCAGGAAGTGCAAACATAGCCCCCGTTGAAAACCAGAGGTGTCATATGTATATTGAGATCAATTTTATCAGAATTAAGGGCCCAAGATTTCTCAGCACTCTACCTATAAGGGACATATATATATGTACGTCATATACTCTACTGTTTATTTTCCACAGTCATCAGACAGCTTGCCCTATATGATGTCTCTCTGGCTACTGTTCACCATGTCTATGGCAGTCAAGAGTGAAGCTTCTCCAAGCTTAACATATAAGAGTCATACTCGTTATATCGACCATGGTAAGTAGCGACCGATCGACAGGCGGCTCTATCGATGGAGAATGCATGCAGTGGCTGGCATAACAGTATTGCTACTTGCGGTACCGGAATTTACAGCAGCGTTGGCTCACAGTCTAGTAATTTGTAATGTGTTTGTTGTATGCTACCACCTATATGTGTAACTGTTAAACATGAAATATGTATTTTGATATGATCCTCAACAACGTATATAAGATTAGTGCGTCATTCCTGAGACATAGTTAAGACCATGCGCAATTTATGTGTAATTTGGTATTGTGATTAGGAGTAAGTAATCTGTCTGATTAGATTTTGGTGAGATGGACTTACATATGATTGGATAGTTGGTAAATATTTATATTTTACACCTGCAGCTATACCATACTACTATACTTATTGCAGTATATTACACATACGAATCACATTTATATTTAGGAGTTTAGTCATTTTTAAGTGCACTTTTAAAATCTAATACTCATATATAAAATTAGATTAGTTTAAGGTAGATCAGGCGGTTTAGTCTTAAGTTATATCAGGTCAATTAAGCCACACTCGGGTTTGATATATATACTGTACATTACAATTAATATTAGTTTTATGGGAACCCAAATATTAGCTCTATGGGGTCCCAAATATTAGCTTTGTGGGAAGCCAAATTACAAAGATATCTTTTATCCAGATAGAGAATAGATAACTAGTCTTTTATTCTTTCTATCTGATAAGCGATCGTGTTTTTTTATTAGTAAAGTAAAATAAATTTTATTCAGGAAAGTACATACATAGTTGATTTACAAACATAATGTTGGATTTATAGATAGTATCCTATACCTAAAGCCACTAGTACGCATAGCGTTTCGGGCATTAACAAATTAAATTAACAAATTAAGCTGAGGTACAACCAAAGTGTGCACACTGCTACCCTGTTCTATATGAAAAAGAACGAAGTGGAGATACAAAACTGGTTATAAGTATTTAAATTGATATCCCCATATCTACCTGATGTATCTGATTTTAGACCCCATAGAGGTAATATTTGTGTTCCCATAAAACAAATATTAATTCTAATGTATATACCAACCCGAGTGTCGCTTAATTTATTTGACCTGATATAACTTAAGGCTAAACCGCCTGATCTACCTTAAATTAGTCTAATTTTATATAAGAGTATTAGATTTTAAAAGTACACTTAAACATGACTAAACTCGTAAATATAAATGTGATTCGTATGTATAATATAACAGGTTGGTTAGTCATACATGGAATCAGGAGAGATCATGAGATGCGAGGCTGATCTATTAGTCAGCACTAGCAAAATCTGGGTACAGCACAAGAATATCTTCCAGTATTCGCGAGTGTTTGAAGCAGTTACAGAGCTCAAAGTACCTCATACCATTTGGTCGGAAATCATTGATAACAGGACAGTCACAGATATAGTGATGGAGAATATGGCCTAACTCTTGTTCACGTAGTTTACAATTGGAATGTTCACCATTGGGGGGACTCATTACCTGCAGCCACTGCCATATAGATATCGATATCCAAGCCTAATTCTAGCAATTACAATGTCACACTCTAGTGGATGTTTTATGTTGCCCGTACATATAGTTATCGGCTCTAAACATGTCATAGCTCATTAAACTCGTGCTTTCTGGCCTCTGAGTGTATTGTGAAGCAATATAAATTTTGTATATTTATTTTTTCTAGGTTGGCCTACTTGTATGGCATTATACGAGTCTTTAAACTCGATAATCCTTAGGTTTATATAGTGTTCGAAGGTCTGCAAATTCTGGAACTCAGATCTCAGTGTTGTACTGGAGATGATGAAGATGAATGGAGTGCCAAATATATGAACTCATGAAGTATGTTAAATCGCCCGCCAAGCCGCCATGTTTGTTAACCCCAACTTGGGCTAAAAGTAACCGCATTTCGTCACAAACTTTTCCTGTCTATTTTAATGCTAATTAGTACATTTTATTGTAAGTTCAAAGGCACAGTATTGCCATATTTACATAAATAAGATACGCTTAATATCAATACTATAGTGGTAAGAGTCATATTAGAGAGAGAGCTGATGTTTTCTTTATTACGTCGCTAAGGCCTAAATAAAACAAATCGAAAGGTAGGTTTTCATTAAATAAAGAATATGAATGATTTGAAGGTAAATAAGCAAGCCAAGGTTAGTTTTTATAAGCACATAGAGGAGTGTCAAGTTTGTCATGACGGCGTGAGGCCGGGGCTCCTCCCGCCAGTCTGAGGGAAGACCTCGTGCTGCAAACATGTGAGTACTGCTCTTCCTCAACCGTCATCCACTTCCTTATTAACCACTTCTCACCTGCGTGCCTTGGTAACCACGCGTTATAGCTCGAGTGGATAAAACCCAGTAGTGTAATAGCGGAAAAAGAGAAACTGGGAGGAGTAACCAGCTGACGGTTGTCAACACGCACCCGTAAATACACCTTTGGCAGGTATCCAAGTGTCACAAACGTGAGGAGACGGCCCTCTTATGCCGGTTGTGTTGCCTACATGTGTGTGTGTGTGTGTGGGGGGCTTGGTAAGTGTGGAGGCGGCCAGCCATGGACAGGAGGACCCCGGGGTGAAAGGCTAGGAGGTGGGGATGGGTGGCGGCCCCGCGCGCACTCTTGCGTAATGTTCTCCTACCATTACCTTACCTCGGAGCCCTCACACCTGTCTCTCCCTCTCTGTACCCTCCTCCCACCTCCTTGAGATGCTGCTCTGGGCCTCGTGAACGTCTTGGGTCAGTCTAAGGTTTGGTTAGGTTAGGTTGGGTTGGGTTTGGTTCGGTTGGGTTTAGTCCAGTTGGATTGGTCTACCCCGTAAGTGGTTGGTGTGTTAGGTTAGCAGCAAGCTGAGAGATGGGCAATGTTTGTTGGTAAATATATTTAGGTTCTGCTTTTGTGTAGTTAGATGTAATAGCCTTTTGTTGAAACCAGCACGTCAAGGTGAACCACCTGAATTTACCCGAGGCCAATAATATTAGTGGCCTCGATGAGGACAGGAACCCGAAGGCTTATAAACGGTTCCCGTCCATTTGCCCTGATCATTTTTTGCCAGCTGTATTTTAAAATCGAGCAGAGTTTTGCCGTTTACGGCCTCTGCGGGTAGGCGGTTCCAAGTGTTTAAAACCCTGTGGGTGAAAAAGCATCTCCTGTTTTCTGTCCTCCTTCATGGCTTGAGCTTGAACCCGTTGTTCCTCGTTTGTGTTACATGGGCATAGGTTTGCATGGACAAATGTAGAGTCCTCTATGCATGTGCATGACTTGGTGTTGGCAACTGTAAGAGGCTTGTGGTGGAGCATCTTGGCACCATGACGATCACGGTTGGAGATGTGCCATCACGGGTAATACCAGACTTGCTCTCAGCTGGTCACTACTTGATACATATAGTTTTTGTATTTAAATTCAGTCATTGGTGTACATTTTCTTACACAAGGATATTGAGGCTTTTCTGATATAATTTATTAAATGGAAAAAACTGTTCAGGATGAGCAGATTAGCTATATATAATTTACATTCTGCATAATATTTAAATGTTACTTTCCAATTCTTGAAATTCTGTTGAATAGATGTATATGGAGTAAGCCAGCCTATATACTTTCTCCATACACAGTTCTGTATAGTATGTGGAGAAAGTCTCGATGGTTAGCGAGAGGAGTCAGGTCACTATAGCCTCGCGGTCAAGGAGCAGGGAAGATCTCTTAACCCATATTTACCAGATGTAATTAATCAATGTTAATGTCTGCCTGAAATTCTGCGCGTACTAGTGGCTTTACAAGATTGTAAATACTATGCTATGTATTCTCTAACCCAATGTACCTTCTTGTATATAAATAAATAAATGTTATGTGGGTATAGAGTAGTTTACCAAGGGAGAACATTACCAAGTTGTATCTGTTAGTCTGTCACATCTTATTAGCTTCATGTGCAATATTCTCTTACTTAAATTTAGTATTTTCTAGACAATTATTAATTTTTACTATTTCATTATAGTACAATGTATGCTGTATATTTCCAAACTTTGTAAAGTAGTAAGCTTTCTCTAACATTTATTAAGAAGTTCATTATCGTACATTAATCCGACATAGTGCAAGCAATCAAGTTTTGACACTGAATTTAATATTTTTATCTAGCAATAATGATCACTTTAATGGTCAAAACTGTAAATATTATTTGGCAACACTTGTTAATAATGTAATAGCAAACCACCATAATGTATTGGTAATTAACTTTATTGTAAAATATGTAACTAAACAGTATGGAGACATTAGTGCCTTACTGCAAGCAATACCATAAATGCTGTTTTCCACAAGTTTTATTCATTTTAACAAGCATGTAGCTAAAAGATGACAAGACCCAACTATTTAACATAATCCGTTTACACAACAATCGGTAACTAAACCAAGCCAGAGGTGATGGTACTGAACTGCAACCTAATATGATCAGAAATTAGAATTTGCCTCCTTATACAGTATACAGTTTATTATAAACCTTGATCCTAATTATTTATATAAATGATAAAAATGGCTAAAATAAACTTGTGTGTAAACTTGTGGAAAATAAATAAAATAAAAGGTAACAAGAAAAAAATTTAAAATCATTTCCCATATATTAGGATAAAGGAACCTGAATAGAAGAACCCATATTCCTTTGCTAGACAAGATGGAAATGTACTATCTGCCACGCCAAGTAGCATAAATCTTATTTCTTTCAAATTGTCAATTGTTATTGTCAGTGTTAAATCCTGCAAATATATTTTAATATTTACTACAAAAGCTGTTTAATCTAAACATAGTCTGCATGCTTTACCATTACCACTATGAAGCAATCATTTGCTTAGTTTCTTAATTTTGTTATAAATGTATGTTAAATTACATCTCGTACTATCAAGTACAGTATTTCCCTCAAATGTGACTACCTAAACACATTCATTAATCTTATGTTTGCCTGAAATGTTGCACGCAATTAGCAGCATCTTAAAAAAAATTATTACCTATAGTGCTTTGTAAAAATTCTACTTTGAACCTCGGTAATAATTGTAATTGTGTTTTTATTATATTGTTCACCATTTAAATATTACTCTAAGGTATAGTAGATTACAGGGTAATAGGAGTACAGTACTGTTTAAAGGAACAGTAAAACAGTGTACATAAAACTAAAAAGACATTGATGGTTGATCATGTTGCCTTTTACCTGACACCACTGTTTACCTAGCAGCAAATGCTGTACCTGGTTCTAAGATGTTCAGCTCTGTACATGTCTAGGAAATAGTATTTTTTTGTTTTGGTTACCCGGTGTCTCTTGCCAAACATGTCTGTCAAGCTTTAGTTTCTACTCGTTCTTTGAGCCCAGATGTCCATTAAGTTTTCTTAATATGCAAAATAGCATAGCATTATTTATTGCCTGCAGTGGTGACATTTTCTGTTAATTTAGAGATAGCGTACGTCTTTCTACAAATACACGAGTCTCTTAAATAATTTTATATCTGAACCCTATGGAAGTGGAAAAATAGCAAAACTTAGAATGTAAACTGTAGACTGACTAACCATTCATTTACCTTCTGGGTTTGGCCATGTTAGAGGAGATAGTTCATTATTTGTGGAACTGTACTCCCTTTCTGTATAGTATATTTATAATTAGTTTTATCTTGTATATAATGTTGTCACTACAGCATAATTTGCTGATAAGTTGGACACAACATTCTTTCAGTTAAATTTTAATATACTGGTGTTGTAATTTTTTATTTCTAGTGCATTTAATTTTTTTTTTTTTTGTCATTTTACAGCATAACCCAGAACCCTCATCACAATGAATAGGGCACGTGTATTGTCACATTTATTGTCACGGGTACCACCAGGGTCTTCTGTAACAACAGTACAAGCTTGGCTTATAGGTGGTGTACGAGGAAAAGCTTCAGCTCCACCCCCTCCGACAGCACTTGCTGCAGAACCTTTCCTAAATGGCTCTTCTTCAAATTATGTAGAAGAAATGTACACTGCTTGGCTTCATGATCCTAAAAGTGTACATCAGGTAAGTTACATGTTAGATTTAAACTTGAAATTTTATTCACAACTTTTAGATATTTCTCATATGTTGTTATAAAATAAGTTGGCATTTCTTACATGGCTTAAATATTCCCATGTTCACCAAATCCCAGCAAACACTGAATGGCACCACATTCCATTGCTTTCACCTGGGGCTTAAAGTATTGTTACAGCTGTTCCACTCTTCAAATCAAAATTCTCTTGTTCTCATCTGATTAAGATTCTAATTGCACTTTGTTTGGTTTTATAGTAGGCATTTTCCTTAATGTTTTGTAATATATATATGACAACCCCAATTTCTATTGAAGAGAAAACTCAAGGCAGGCATTCATATAATTGATACTAGTGGTATGAAAGAGCAGAGATGTTCTGCTCTTTGCAGTTAATTGTCCTTTTGTGCTTAAGAATAAATTTGTGATCTGAGTATGCAGTAGGTTTTGTACAGTAAGGTTATACTTGCTTTGTGCACGAGTTCAGTGCAGAGAAAGGCGGTAAAGCAATTGTTTTAAGCCCTCATTGATGACTAAGTCTTTTTGGCTCTAGTCTAACTGCTGTCTCATTCCACCCTGTAATGTTCCCTCTTTATAACTTCACTTATTCCTCCCTTACATCTTTAATTAACATCTGTGCCTTTTTAGATATAGATTAATTATCTTTTCAGTTTTATATTAATTCACTTGTTGAGGGTATTTTCCCCTATTCTGTGAAATCTTATCTGTGGTCATTAAATTAGTCATAATAGCAGAAACTAAATTAAACGTTTATTTGTTACCATTTGTTAATTATGCTGATGGTAATATTTACATACCGGGTAAATAAGTGTTCACCAAGAGTGTAACCATGCTAGACAATACAGCATTCAACTGTAGGAGATAGAGAAGCTGAGGTAAGGGCAACTCAAAATACCCTGTGTGGCAAAAATAGTATAAACTTTAAAGTGTGTTTGATGGAACATTATGTAGCAAAACTGTGAAGTGCTGAAGGTAATTAAAGTTGTTTCATGTGTTTGACTGCAAAACCCAGATCTGTTAGTTTCAGATTATGAGTGTCATGCTACTTGATGATGCCTGACCTCTAGCCTATCATCTAATATCTTTTTCAGTATTACCGTACTGTTCTGTACATGTTTGTGCTGATTGGGCAATAATTGCTGCAAATGGCATGGTTTATATTTTTCTAAAGAGCAAGATGTATAAAATATTTGCTAAATTATCAAACTATGAAGTGAAAGGAAATGTTTCTTTACTCTTTGGTAACAATCTCTTTGGTGCAGTGCTTGATTTCTTGGCTATTGGTCACCTTTGCCATTAATAATCTAGCAAGTATTCATTGTTTAACATTTCCTAGAATTGTCTGCTCTCATAAGTAGTGAAAGAGCATTCCCCCCCCCCCCTCAGAAAAAATACATTTAATTTTATTTTCAGTCGTGGGATACATTTTTCCGAAATGCATCTGCCGGTGCAAGTCCAGGAGAAGCATACACAGCACCACCTTCACTAGCCGATCCCTCACCGCATCATGTATCCCTCGCATCCATAGCTCCAGCCATGACGCCTGCACTTAGTGGTACACCGGTCACAGATAATATTATTGATGACCACTTAGCAGTGCAAGGCATTATCAGAGCCTACCAGGTTAGTGTTTATATTTTGTTTATATTGCTTTTGTGTTTTTTTTGCTAAGATTTTCAATAATTTATAGAATAAGATTTGCTGTAAATGATTTACTTCCTTAAGATGAAATTGTAATGTGGATGAACAAATATCAAGCAACTATAAGGTTTTCATTAAAATATAATGTCTATGGGATGTAGTTCTTAATCTTCAGGGTAATATACAGGTGAAAGGTTTTATATGAACAGTCACGAAGTTTCGTACTGTACTATATTGTAAAAATATTTTTACCATTAGTAATTTTATATTATATTAACATTTTAAAATAAATTATACAAGTATTAAGTCTATTTTTTTTATAAATATCAATAATTTCAAAAATGGTCTGTTAATGAATTTGCTTAACAGAACTAGGAGAGACCAATAATGGCTTGGACATGGATCATACAGATAATGAATTTGGCATGATTCTTGCAGATTTGTAGAGCTTTAATCCTTTAAATGGTAGCCATTCCTAATGTTATTTGATTATACTGATGGACAGAGTAGCCATAATTATGGCCAGGAATTAATAATAATAATACTGGTACTACTTGCAACTGTTACTACTGCCTACTGTTGCTACCAACTATTGCTATTACTCACTGTTACCAACTTAAAATTGCCAACTTGCTGTTGCCAACTTTTGCTACTTGCAAATTGTTGCTGGTATTGTACAAACTGAAACTAAATTGGTATCCAAGAAGAGGTGACAACTGACAGCCAGAAACATTAGAATTAAAGTTACTGTTGAAGAGCTAAAAAGACAATAGGAGTTACTGAAGGAAACTGCAGGATTGGTACCTTAAAACAGACTAGAAAGTTTCAGAAGATTAGAAAGCTCCAAATAGTCATAATATTCTAGAGGTACAGACATGAAGCACCTAACTATAACCAATGTTACTAACATGCATTTTGTGCAAAATACTGGAAAAAATCATCAGGAAAAGATGAATTCTTACCTTGAAAGAGTAAGCTTTGTAACAGTTACAACAATTTTCTTGTTAAATTGAATAATGACACCCATCAAAATAAGTAGACTTCCTGGAGTACCAGAAAGGTTTTGTGACAGTTCTTCACAATAGATTAATATACAAGATAGACAAGTGGGAATAATAAGACACTGAAATGGTTAAGGGTGTAATTGATGGAGTGTCAAGAGGGCATAGTCAGAAAGGATATGTCAGGTTGGCGAGGATTGGAAAGTGGGGGTTCCCCGGGCCCTGTCCTAGGACCATTGTTCTTTTTCTAATTTGTTAACTACTTACGAGAGTAGTGAGCTCATACATGGCAAATATTTGCTGATAATGGAAAGTTAATGAGTAAGAACTGAGGACTGTAGGGTGCTGTAGGAAGACATTAACAAACTTCAGGAGTCAGTAGGTAAATGGTTGCAGAAAGTCTATTTGAAATAAGTATTAGGTAATGAAGTTGGGCGATATCGAGAGGATATCTATCTATAGATAGATAGATATATATTATTTTTAGTTAGAGAAATAGAGGGAGGGAGAGGGGGGGGATGATAACCTATTGGCAACTACACCATGAGGGTAGTGCAACTAAAAGAAAAAAGAAATCTTGGGAGTGGATATAATCTCAACACATGCAAATTTATATGAAAAGGATAATGTCAGTGGCATACAGGAAGTTGGTAAACATATCATGGCATTTAAAATTAAATGTAGTCTTTTAAAATTCATGTACACTGCTTATGTGAGGTCTTTCCAGGAGTATGCAGCACCAAAAAGCCACTTGCATCTAATGAAACACATAAGGAAGCTTGAGAAAGTACAGTATAGGTTTAAAATAAATTAGTACCAGTATTGAGAGGTTTTGGTTATAAAGACAGGTTAAGGGAACTCGACCTCACAACCTTAGATGAAACAAAACAGTTGGGATATGATCATTGCATTAAAGATACATAAGGGAATAGATATGATGGACAAGAGTCAACCATTTGAGAAAAGTCTTTGAAGCAGAACAATATAAACTGAAATAAGGTAGGACAAGCAGACATTAGTAGAATCTGGAATCTCACTAAAGTTGGAGATGCAAGGAAATTCTTGAACACTGTACTGGTGGTTGGCAAGTGGAATGTATTGAAGGAAGTAGCTGTCTTGGATACTTCCATCTACAATGTCAGGAGATAGAGCATATAGGCGCTAGATCTATGTCCTTTAGTCAGTGATAGATAAGAACTAACCACTCTTTACTACTAACTATTTATAATGCCATTATTTCCTCAAGCCACTATTCTTGCAACCCTTTATACTATTACTAATACTACTATTACTACAACTAATATATCAAGTTTAGTACCACTACTGCTATCACTCGATACTATCTACTTAACACTCTTGTTAGTACTATTAGCACTTACCAAACTTATAAATGCCTACTAATATTACAACTACCAGTTATTATTACCACTTATCCCTGATAATTATCTTGCCTTTATGGTGGTGTCACATTTTACTAGTACCACCACTACCACTTTAACCCCCCACTACAGGTTGGTGGTGCTACTTCTTGACTGCCAACTACACTACTAGTCTCACCTACCACTATGGTAGTCGTAGTAGGCGTTTCACAAGTATCTAGTGCTTGGAATGATTTTTTGTAAAATGGTTATTACTCGTGCTGCATTTGATTCGACTCTTGCAGTGAACATTTTACACTTTCATATTTATTGGCTTGAGCACACAAGCACAAAAATAAAAATTGGCACAGAATTTGCACTATCATAAAACTGATTATTATTCAGTACCCATATTTATAGTTTCAAAATTTAAACAGAGTAATTTACTAGTACTGTAAATAAATTTATTGTATATTTACTAAAGCTGTATAGGCATGCCAAAGACACTTATCTTTTTGATCTCATTGTCTTTAGGAACTCGACTGCCTTGAAAGGGGGTAGAATATTTTTGGTATTTCAAGTGAACACTTGGAAGGAATACTGTGTGCTGTAAAATTCCACCTGGTTGTTTGACTAGCACACTGAAGTAATTGTTGCATACTTGCAACAGTTTGTTAGAACTTAATGATTTTAGATGTACAAGTTATTGACATATAGAACTACATGTATTGCAGTTAGCCTACTAAAGTTTTTACAATTTGGTTTATATACATAATTTGAGAGAGAACTTTAATAAAATGAAGTAGGAATATTGTTCAGTTGTAACACAGACACGAGCACGAGGATTGCTGCAGCGCTGCACCTCTGCGAGGCAAATTAGTGGAAAGAATTGATGTGGATTGGAATATATATATTAACTGGAGGTCATAAGTTTGTATGAGCATGAATACTAATTATAAAGAAATTTTATTTAAAAAAATTGAATGTGTAGTTACGAATATTAATGTTAGTGTGTAATATGTGCATGACTGAACATGAAAATACAGGTGGTTAATGGATTCTGGTATGTAAGCAATTTTAACATTAATTATTCTTGTTTAACATGCAGGACTGTGTAGTTTTAATTATTTGAATTCTCTCATTAAATAAATAGTATGACCTTTATTTATAAACACACACATGTATTGATGCATGCATTGTACATGTTACTCCAAAGCCAACTAAGTATTTCATTGTACACATGTCTAACTTTATTTTGCTTCATTGTCACTGTTGTCCAATGCTTTGGAACAGCAGCAGTGGCCAAGTGTTAACACTTGATTAACTCGTCTAATAAACAAACTTATTTTAATCATCTCTCTCTCTTTGCCAACCTCCCTCCCCCCCTATATCCCAGTCTCCCTCCTCTTTCCCTGCTTCTTCTGTTGATCACTTTTTCAAAAGGTAAAGGAGACTTTGCTACCTTTCAATGTTAGTGCCCAGAGGGAATAGGGGGGCCTCACTACTGGGCCTGACCCCCTCAATTGCGACTAGCCTATGACTGTCATGTACCCCCAGACCATTCACCCTGCAAGTTGGGTAAGGCTGACCGGAAGTGTCTGGCTTCTAACCTCATACAGACTCTTATATACTAGGAGGGGTATATTATATATAATAATAATACAGTACTGTATATGTAATATATAATAAAGGGTACCTAGCTGCACCTGGTGGGGGGGTGTCTCTTCTTTCCCCACACACGCACACACTTTCCACACTCTTTACTGCATCTCCATCTTGACCCCCCCTCGTTCCTATCCCGTCTTGGCATTCCTTTATTTCTTCCCTTGCTTCCTCTTCCCCCTTCTCTAAAAATTTATTCGGAACAACTGTAACAGCTTTACGGATCTCAAGACATATTATGATCACTAAAAACTCAAGGCAAATCATACCAAATATTTCACAATTGGTCTCTGTGGTCTCTATTGAAATATTTTGTAAAGCATATAATTTAGGCTGGCTGGGGTATGCTTATATCCATCCAATACCCCAGACCATTTCCCCTGCAAAGTTGGGTGAGGCTAGCCCGAAGTGTCTGGCCTCCATCTTTAGACACACATTTCTTTAGATATAATTACTATTGGACCAAAAAATCTGATTGTTTATAATGTGAGGGAGATGTGTTTATTGTGGAGACAGCTGACACAGGAACCTACTTCACACCACACAGCATGAGTGTGGATGCATAGCACAGCAGCTATACTGTGCTATGCTTGGGTGTTGTGTAAATTCTGCCGTATAAGAATGTATTTCCACTTTCTCTTGTCAGCATTATGGTTGCTGCTGTAAGACATCAATACAAAAGGCAAATACAGTGACTATTCTAGATGCCACCACACATATACAGTACTGTACATATATATAACAGTAGCTTAGTAATTTTCCACATCTGTTATTAATTTTCTTTGTAGTTTACCAATACAGTATTTGGGCGTGACAAACTTGTTTGAGCACAGACAAGATTAAGAGTATAAAGAGAATAAAAATACTCTAGAAACATCTAAAAGGGTTTGGAGAGTAAAAATAGTACAGGAAGAGAGAGTACAGAAAATGAGTAAAGGGAGAGTAGAGAGGAGCGTAGGGAATAATTTGATTATTTCTTAATTCTTTTAAAGTTCTCACTATATTAGCTATTACTGTTATTTCTGAGAATAGTTGTTACTGTTACTTGAATAGTCATAATATACATTACAGTACTGTACTGTATTTTGCTATTGCAAAAGATAACGTGCATTATGCTTCTAGAAAACAGATGGGTTATTTGGATCATTGAAGAAATTGGGAGATAACTACTGAATATGAAAATTGTCAATTTTCTGGTCATGTCACAAGTTAGATATAATTAGGTATAGTTTAGTTTTATTTAAGTAGTGCTGATCCTTGTATTTGGAAGTAATATGGTGTGATATGAACATAAACAAAGCAAGAATTAAACTATTAGAAATGGATAATGAGAAGTATGTTTCATAGTACAATAGGTAGAATTGTTATGGACAGAAGTAGAGCCTAAAAGTCAAATATCTGCAATATTGAGGAAAATATACTGGGATGGTGTAGAGTACGTTTAATGTGTGGGTGTAGATAGACTAGTGTATTTAAGTGAATTTGAGAGGTGGTGGTAGCTGGAAAGATTGAGTCGTGTTGAGTGTGAGAGTACACAAGGATCGAGTATATGAATAATATTCTGTACTGGTTGTGGCACTCTGACTGTCTGTTCCCCAACACAATGCATTATTTTTATATTAGGTGTAGAGAGAGATGGGATGTAGGGAGATGCTGTAGATATATAAATTATATAATACGAGAGGTATAGTGTGATATAGATGGATAGATACATGCACTCGTGAATGCATGTGCATGTACACAAACATGTACACATTAGTTTCAAAGCATATATGACAGTGTGTTGGGAAGACGGGACATAACGATTGTATCTCTTATCCTGTAATTACACTTGGGTAATTACATGTACACACCCACAGGTCTTTTTATCCTGGCCGAGAAGAGTTGACCGGATGCCAATCCTAAATGGTTGGCATAAATAATGTTCACCCAGCAGTAATTGGGTATCTGGTTAACTGATTGGCGGGTCATGTTCCAAGGAAAGCTAGTGAGTAAGGCTTACCATGAGCTATGGGAAAGGAAAGCTCTCAGCCTGTTAACAAGTCTGAAGTCGTATGCTCCTGTACTGTATCCACAAAAAAAAAAAACTTATTATTTTGCAATGTAATAAATATTTAATATACAATTATGTTTCTTACAATACTAATGATTAATCTGTTTAATGTAGTCTGTGTATTTTGGTTTGTAATCTATATTTAATAATGATTACTTGCAGATCATGAAGAAAATTTAGATTATATTTTAGTTGTAAATATTCAGTGCATGATGATGGTGTTTAAAGTTCCTTTGTAGTGTTATAATTATTTTGTAGATTAATATTAAATAATTTTCAAAGAGTATCAAGAGGCTACTTTACAGATTGAGGTTAAGTCGGCGAGTACTATACCCTGGAAATTAAATGCACACCCGAATGGGCATTAGTCACGTGTGCACTAAATAGTTGGGTCCTGTTTAATTAGAGTATGGAAACTAACATGAGGCATGTTTGTGTACACATAAAATAACAGGCACGTGGTCATTTGATTGCTGCGTTGGATCCTCTTGGCATTGATCGGGAAGCATTAGCAGAACGGCCTCCATCTACGTTGCCCAGCAGAGTTGTAGTGCGGAACTATTATGAGTCACTTGGTATGATTTTTGAGGAGTAAATAGCTAACTGTACCAGTAAGGTTAAGGAAGATATAATGAAACTGAACTTGGCTGGATAGTTTTTACCTTTCTCCATAACTTTTTCTTTAACCCCTGTTCCCATTTCACAATCTTATTCATAGCAAAATAATAATTTTTTTAAGCTGTTTTCATTCAATGAAGGTCTTCTTTCACAAATAAAAATCTAGTTCTTAGCTAATATTTTGTGCATGTGTATACGTGTGAATGTTTGAAATTTGTTTGCTTATGTGCGCGTGCATGTGCTTGAGAGTGGGCATGTATGTGTTTGTCTGTGCATGTGTATGCTTGAGTAATTACCCTAGTGATGACATAACCGAGTAACAGGATGAGAACTACACACACACACACGGTGTCCCATTTTCCCAGTGCTGTCATATGATGCTTTGAAATGACTGATGATTTTGGCCTCCAGCACCACCTCACTCCTGGTGAGAAGATTAAACACTACCACTGTTTGTAAAAGAGAACTTTCTAATATTTTTGGGGCACCTATGTTTCTTGGCTTGAATTTATGATCTCTTGTTCTTAAAGTTGCAAGCTTCAAGAATTCCTCTTGTCAGTACTTTGTTATTGGTACTGTTGTGTGTAGTGTAGTGATTATGTGCATCTTTCTTGTCTTTAGGTTTTTTTTTTTCTTCCAGTTCCAGAAGCCCTTTTGTAACATGTCTTTTCCAATTCTTTTTTAGATATGGGGATCATACAACCGCTGCATATTTAAATTTTGCTTCTATGAAAGTTGTAAAAAATTTCTTTTAATATTTTACCCTCCATGTATTTGATTCTAAAGTTGGAAAGTGTAGTATATGCTCCTCACCCAATGTCCTTCATGTGGTCCTTTGGAAACGGTCTTCTATTCAGAGCCACTCCTAGTACTTTGTCAAAGTTCTTTAATGCCTTTCCACGTACAAAAATTCATAAGTTGTATATGGCCTAATTCATAAGTTGTATATGGCCTATTTTCTCCTATCCCACATGCCATAATGTGGGGCATTTATATTAAATTACATTTATCAAGTGTTGCTCTATACACTTTAGTCCAAATAATTTTGAAGGGCATGACAGTCATTCAAGTCTCTTATCTTCCCTAATAGCTTAGCATCATCAGCAAACATGTTCATAGAATTCAGTATTTCTTCTGGTAGATTGCTTATATAGACGATAAACATTACTGGTTCAAGAACTGAACCCTGTGGTATTTCGCCAGAATACTCCTCCAGTCAGATACGTTGTCTCTGATTACCACTCTCATCTTTTTAGCAGTTAGAATATTTTTCATCCATGTTAGCAGTCTTCCCTCTAGCATGTTTGTTTCCAAAACATCCTCTTGTGTGGGACTTTCAAGCATGATTTTTATTAGATTCAGATAGTCAATCCAACCATCTCTCTCTCCTGTAGAATCTATCTGGCTCTTTCATAAAAATTTAAGTACATTTATTATACGGGTTCTTCCTGCCCAAAAGCCATATTGTCTGTCTGTCTGTTACACTATTTCTCTCCAGGTATTCTATCCATTTGGATTTAATTGTATGCGTGTGTATATGTGTGTGCATTTTTGTTTGTATGTGAGAGGTTTTCCATTAAAATACAATATTGAAGTGCAGTATTAATTAATTTGTAGACTTAAGTAGCAAGAACTTGCACTAAAGTTTATACCACTACAGTATTATTGAAAGCAATATGTACTTAATGGTGATTATTGTACTGGATGTGTAGAGGTGGTGGGATTATTTGTTTATATTTGTATCCTGCTAGATCCTTCTTGCCTTACAAGCTGGTAAATTTATATAGACTCCCCCCCCCCCTCTACTCCACCTCCTTGCTTTTGCAAGTTTATGCTCATAAGTGCACATACACACCTGCATATATGTAAGCATTCTCATGTTGAAGATTGTGCAGTTTTTGCAATTATTTAAGGAATTGGAGTTAAGATGCAACTTATTACAAATATCTTATAATAGACATGATCTAACCATGTAGCTAGTTGTCCTGCAAGTCAGGGCAGAGGTAACTATTTTTGAACTTGCTATATAATGTCAGTATCATTGTGAATGTTGAATTTGCTAGATAATATACATTTTTAGTATTGGAGCTGTTCATAATGTTATTTACATGCACATAAAAAGGCTTGGAATGCATGTGAAAAGTGCAACCAATGTATTGTAAGAGTGAAATGGAACAGTATATGAAGAAAAGGGTGGTAGGAGGGTGAGAGAGCTGGAAAGAGTGAAAGGTTTGTGGTAAAAGGGTCTTGTGGAGAAACGTATACACTATATGCAATGCATGGTTTTTGGTCACTGTTTCCTTGTTTGGGCTTGCTGGAATTTTTTGCTGGTTGTGTGTCGGGTCCAAGATTTTGTCTATATCTCCCCAAGAGTTCTCGGGCAGCAGCAAGGTTTTGACCTTTACAAAGATTACTAAAGTGTAATTATACAAGTGTAATTACAGGATGCAACCCGTTCTCACACAAGACAGCACATATATGACTTAATTCTTAAAGTCAATATGTTGAATATGATTTAGTACATATGTGATATATTTCCAGTTACCTTTTTTACCAAGGCCCAAACTCTTCCTCACGTACCAATTTACGTCTCACAGTACCTGTCCATCAACATAGATAGCAGAATAGTCGTGATTGGTTCAATTATAAGGAAAATTGTAGTTTTCATGTCCCACATGGGTTGTGAAATTTACTTACTATTGTCCATGCTCTTAGAATATTACAGATCAGCTACATCCTATTGAAGGCTCGTAGTTTTGTTTTGAGAAATATTAGTTGTTCTTAGTAAATTATAATAAGCACTAAAAATTATTACATAGAATAACAGTGCTTCACTAATCAATATTATATTCCATAGTTTGCGCTCTAAAAATCTTTAAAGAATGTTTTGTAGGAACGCTAACAGAAAACGATGTTATGTTTATGGGGTAAACTACTGCAAACTTGGGGATCACTTCCACCCACAGGAAGGGAATGGGTCCAATACCATCCACTGGATGTGTATGGCGTCCACTACCACCGACAGGATGGGTATGGGGCTCACAACCACCCACAGGATGGGTATGGGGTCCAATACCACCCACAGGATGAGTATGGCGTCCACTATCACCCACAGGATGGGTATGGGGCTCCAACCACCCACAGAATAAGTATGGGGTCCAATAGCACCCACTGTATGTGTATGGCGTCCATTGCCGCCCACAGGATAAGTATAGGGTCCAGTATCGCCCACAGGATTAGTATATAGAGTCCACTGCCGCCCACAGGGTCGGTAAAGGGTCCACTACCGCCCACAGGGTTGGTAGGGGGTCAACTGCCGCTCACAGGGTCGGTAGGGGGTCCACTACCGCCCACAGGGTTGGTAGGGGGTCAACTGCCGCTCACAGGGTCGGTAGGGGGTTCACTGCCACCCACAGGGTCGGTATGGGGTCCACTGCCACCCACAGGGTCGGTATGGGGTCCACTACCGCCCACAGGGTCGGTAGGGCGTCGACAGGGTCGGTAGGGGTCCACTGCCGCCCACAGGGTCGGTATGGGGTCCACTGGCGCCCACAGGGTCGGCAGGGGGTCCACTACCGCCCACAGGGTCGCTATGAAGTCAACTACCGCCCATAGTGTTTGTATAGTGCCCACTACCGCCCATAGTGTTATTATGGGGTCCACTACCCCTCATAGTGTCGGTATGGGGGTCCATTACTACCCATAGGGTGTGTCTGGGGTCTATTTTTTTCTGTATAGCAGAGGTGGCAATACTGCTTTTCCAATCTCATTTGTTGTTCAATGTAAAATATTTGTTGCTCGACTTGCAACAATTTATATATATATATATATATATATATATATATATATATATATATATATATATATATATATATATATATATATATATATATATATATATATATGACAATGTCAGACCACGGAGGAAAAATGAAACAGGAAATTTCCTTAAGTACTTTCGTATATTAAATACATCTTCAGAAGGTCAATATAGTGCCCAGTACACCTTCTGAAGATGTATTTAATATACGAAAGTACTTAAGGAAATTTCCTGTTTCATTTTTCCTCCGTGGTCTGACATTGTCACATTCTTAATCACGTGTTTATTTTCGTGATATACACACATATATATATATATATATATAGTATAGTGCCTTTGCAATAATGTACCAATGTGTGTATTTGTTGTATTGTATTGTTGAAATACATTGTTCACATGAAATACATGTGAAATATTGTTGAAAACATCTTGATGACATATTATAACCAAAGTTCGACAAAAACACGAACTATATGTTAAACCTCTACCAGACAAATATTTTAAGTAAAACCGAAAATATTTGAAGTCTTATAAAAGGGGCAGTTTTCATTGCTCGTCGAGCTCGAAAACCGCAGCATTCATCTCAGAACCATGCCTATTTCACACAGATTCCTTAATAAACGTAAGAGTTTTATATGTCACAAGAAAGATAGAAATATAAGCTTCATTCTAAATACCTTACCATGGGCATATTTAAATTTAAAGCGAAGATACGTGTACTTTTATAATAGCCGAGCTTTAACCCCGGACAGATTGATCGACCGAGCAACTCTCTCTCAGAACAATGTTTATTTCAAGTGAATTCGTTAATAAACATATATGTTTTATATGTCTCAAGAAAGGCAGACATATAAGCTTCACTTTAAACACTTTACCATAGACATATTTAAAGTTCTAATGAAGATACATGTATTTTAAAAATTATGGAGCTCCCACCCCGTACAGACTGAACGACAGAGCAACTCTCTCTCAAATCAATGTTTATTTCTCGTAAATTCGTTAATAAACACAAATGTTTTATATGTCTTAAGCAAGATAGAAATAAGAGCTTCATTTTAAATACATTACAATAGACATATTTATAGCTCAAGTGAAGATACATATGTTTTTATAGTAGCGCTCAGTAGCTTGTCGGGC